GCTTTAAAGGATGTTTACTTAGTAAAGAAAAATGTTTTCCTTTGGGCAACTCCAGATTCCAAAAAAGGTAAAATTTATATAGTAAACATATCTCCACTTTTTACTATGTTTTGTCACTAGTTCTTAGGCGGATCACGAATTAAATTATTAAAAATAATTTAAGCCTAATAGTTTGTACTACTAGCATATTAACAACATCATATACTTAAACAAAATGATACTAAAATTATAGTTAATCATATTGGCGGATCTACGTAATTACTATTAAAAATTTTAAAATATTTGACAAAGAATAACTTTTGATCCACTAGTTCATTTTAGATGATTTTACTATCAAAATGACCGTCTCAATGAGACGATTCTAAAGAGCCCAACCCCACCAAAATCAAATCACTGAATCCCGAGAAAATTGCCGGGTTGTTTTCATCGGATAAAATAGGATGTGTTAAACCCATCCTATTTTACCCGATATAAACAAAACATTAGCGACCTCAGGATTCAGTGATTGGATTTTGATGATTTTGGGCTCTTTGGAATCGTCTCACTGAGACGGTCATTTTGATGGTAAAATCATCTAAAATGAACAAGTGGGTCAAAAGTCAGTCATTCTTTGTCAAATATTTTAAAATTTTTAATAGTAATTATGTAGATCCGCCGATATGATATTATCTAATCATTATTATTTTAGTCAAACGAGATGCATATTTGATATGCATATAGTACAAATTACAAAAAAAAGATAAACTTTAAGGTTTAGACTATCCTTAGTTTTTATTTTTAATAACCACTCAAGTACTAAATAATAAGAACATGATAACACAAAATACCAATTTTTTTATGCCAAATAAAGGTCGGAAAATATTTTTACTGCATAAAATTTTTAGCGTTAATTATAATTCCCCTTATCTGTGTGACAAATTGTAGGACTGATATATTGGTACGCCCAGATTCGCGTAGAAAATCGCAGCTCTCGGGGGTATGCATTTGTACTCATTAAGGATCTCTGCCGGGAACTGATGTGAAGGTAGATAAAAGTTAAGTTTGTAGGTAAAGAGCATTAGGCCATCATGAGAAATTCAGATTTGAAATACATGATTATCACGCATTTATCAGATTAGGAAAAATATTGCGTACTAAAAATAGGAGCCAACAAGGAAAAACCTGTCATCGGAATTGTTGGGCTCAGCTCAGCTCATATGATTTTTTAGCCAGTAAATTATAAATTTAAAACTCCGATGACCAAATAAATTGCATGTGCGGGATTAATGATAAAACTAATGGATAATTCTAACTATTCAAAGAATAAAAAATTTTTGAGAGAAGACTTAGCCTCCATCTTTATTTCATTCAGATCCACTAGTGAAGTACTGTAAGTGCATTCCATCGCATTTTTCATCATCAGAATTCCAAGAACGATTAACAGTCCCAGCATAAAATAGGAAGGCCGTAGCTATTTCAGGAAAAAGCCGGGTACATATGGAGGCTTATTTAGGGTAATTAGGAAAAATTCCAATGTACGTACGTACCGTACATACGTAAGTAATGTACAGTATTTACAATCAACGTGCCAAATATAACAATAGCATGATTATTACGATTTTTTTTCTTTCTAGTGGCGCCGTGTTTTATCAGGATTGCACCATCAGAATTTCAATATCAAATTGCCTTAAAAGTAACAGTAAGAAAAGTCACCATCTACGTATAAACAATATATATATAATAATAAATTAATATTAGGCAATTATTAAATCACGAATAACAAATAGATCAAATTTTTCCCATGTAATTTTTTTTTCATGAAAAAAAAAAAAAAATCAATATTAACATTAATACAGTAATATCGATATCGTATTGTATGATTAAAACATATTTACATTCTGTGTATCAAACTAAAAAATCCCGGATTACTTTTAGTTACAAGAATTCTTGGCTATGAGTTTACTTTTGAATAACCAAAATTTTTAATATATGAGAAACAAATTTTTTATCGTTGTACAAAAAAAAAATCTGATAACGATAATTTTAAATCAAATACTAATCTGATAATTTCATTTTGATAATGAGTAATTCCGAATAAGGAAAGGGTTGTGAACGAACAATTTTTACATTGTTAATTGTTAAAAAAATACTAGTATCGGATCATGATTATTTAACCAATCAAAAAAAAAAGTTAAAATTTATAAAAGTTAGAATATATAACCAAAAATTTCCATAACCTGATTTTTTAATATAATACAATCAATTGTAGCAATATAAATTTCCATAAATCATATAAAAAATTTGAGTACAAATTAAAAATAATGCCGATTTGTACATAAACACGTAATTTGTTTTACATATTAGTAAATGAATGTAAATTTTATTCGTTGAATTTAATTTTGAAAGCTATCACAAATTATAAAATGGAAAATATGCAAGGTATGAACATCTTTAATCGAAAGAAGGGGTAAGATAAGCCTAAATAGATAAAAAAAGGTACATACGTAAGTATTTTAAAGTTTTGCAGATCTGAAAAGAAGGTTTGGTATCAAAAACCTATATTGGTTAAGTTATGCATAGTGAGATAGTGAACAGGAATTTGAATAGCGTCAGGAGAAATTTCTCCAGACTTTACCTTAATTGATCGCTATGGTTGACCAAATATATTTGGAGATACTCGTGTAGCATTTCCTACAAAGTTTTCGGAGAGAGAATATAGTCGAATAGAATAAGGATATTATTAGCCAACCGCATCGCGGTTTTTTAATCATTAACATTTTGGCATGCTTAGATAATAATCATGCATTTCTGCATTTCTAATCAATATATTTTCTAATATCAATATTGTTACTTCATCAACAATGCATTTTCTAAATCAATTTCTTTCTTAAATAAGTAATACTTTCATTTTACGTATTTTATTATTAACACATTTAATATACTGTACAAAAATATTAAAGTGTTTTTTTTTGTGTTAATTTCCGATTGTTTTTTTTAAATAAAAAAAAAAAATAATGTTTTTTTTTTCTTGTAGAATTTTGAGTATAAGAAATTTTTGTATAAGAAATTTTTGTATGAAAAAAATAAAATGTTCATTTTTTGTTTTTTATACTTTGATTATATGTATATATATATAAATTTTTAAAAATTTTTAAATTCTTATTTTGTATTTAACAGACATTCAATCTAAAACTTCCTGAATTTAAAAATTGATCGTCATATTTTAAAAAATTTAGGTTAAGATTTTTGATTTTTAAGATTTGTTGAAAAGGAATATTTTAAGATTTTTTGAAAAGGAATATTTTAAGATTTTTTGAAAAGGAATATTTTAAGATTTTTTTGAAAAGGAATATAATTTTTAAGTCCTAATATGATTGGTTGATTGAAAATTATGATGGTATTATGATACAATTGTAATTTTTATCAATTGCGTCAATTACGTTTAGAATGTTGACCAAACCCAATTCTCAGGGACTAGATGGTTGTAACCTAATTTGTAAAGAAAGAAAGAAAGAATAAAAATAATTAATAAATATATAAAAGTATATTTGATGTAATAATAACCGAATTAAAAAAACTTACTTATTGGTTGTTGACATTGGTTTATAGTACGAGAATCTATTTTAATGGAAATCGATATTGTTATTAATCCATTACATCATTACGTAGTTGTCATACATAATTATAATTCACACAAATAATACTCACTATTCTCTTTTAGAATATCATCATCACTATTAGGATATTTCGTATTATTAGAAGATTTATCGGTACCGTAACTATTACTTGTATTATATCCGCTATCTTGATATTCTCTAGAATCCTCTTCCTCCTGGTCTCTTAAATACCTCAATACAAAAGGTTCGGGGTGTTTATACCTTAGCCTCACATAGTCATCGTAGCATCTATCGCAAACGCTGTAAAAATGAAATAAGGTTAATAAGTTATATCAATTCAAACTTTATTAATCATTATTTTATAATTCTTACCGAGAGGCAAAACCGGATAGATTAAATCGATTATTTTGGTCGAGGCGAATGTAATGTGAACAATGAAAACCACAAAAAATTTCTCCACATCTAATTATTAAAAAAAAAAAACGTTAATTAGTGAAATTATAAACACAAAACTATAAAAATGTATATACAATATATACCTCCGACAATGGTGTCGTCTTTCAAATAGGTTAAAAATACGATTACAATAGGTCATGGAGCATTTTTTTGCTTCGCAGTCAGCCTAAATAGAATAAAAAAATAAGTTTAGGTTTATAGAAAAATAAAAACAAGCGAAAAAAAAAACAAAACAAACCTTCCAGTGAGCTTTTGACGGAGGACCATCGGCTTGACCGTAAAAGAGTATTGCAGCGTCCTCATAATACTGGTCGTCTCCATACAATACTTCCCTTTGTCCAGTACCCATAGTGGGTGGTATAGGATATGTAGAACGTACGAGGGCGTAGACGTCCATTTCGAACTATACTCGTGGTTAAATAAATTGTTCGTATTTATAAGGGTAAATGTTTGTAGTACTATTTTTTAATAAAATTAATAAAAAAATGTCCAAATGACGCGATAAAAAAAAATATTTATATGATAATTAGGTTAATAAATTGATTTTTGAGATGAGATAGATTTTTGAAACCAATTCATAGGCTTTTTAAACGCAGTAAATGGCAAATCATGAAATTGTACGACTTTATCAAATCAGATCTAAATAAGGGTCTTTGCAGTCGCCTAATGTAATCTAATATGCGGTGTACTGTTTAGCCAGGCGTAAGTAATTGTTGATCAACAATTACTTTAAATATGATATACCGTTTTAAGTATACACACAAAAAATAATAATAAAAAAAAAAAAAAATAAGAACGTTTGTAGAAAATATTGAGAGATTCGCTACGGAGGAATTATCGGTTATTTATTTGAATTTAATTTAATGGTAATTAGGTAATTAATTATATCGTTATTAAAAATTGAAAAAGAAAGATGTAACACTACTTTAAAATACTTGTAAGTCTATTCATTAATCCAATTTCGGAAAATGTTATCCTATAATGTTTACGGATAATAACGTTTACAAATCCAAAGTTAGATCGTATAAAAATTCCCATAGCTGCACTTCGCCACGAATGATGTCAATTAATAACAGGACTCATGGCGTTGATATAAAAGCGATATTCGCATTGCATCGCCTTATCAAAGTTATTGGGTAAGACCTTTTTTTTTCTCTAAATAAGTCTTAATATTCAAATTATAACATATCGATATAAATCCTTATACGTACTGATAAGATCCTTACACATATAGCTGATAACGATTTTTGTCTCAAATAGTAATATTTTTCCACGCGTTAATATGTAATGACACTTATAATGCGTAGTATTGTTCGATTATAGTAAGATATTCCTCATTGATACTATTTTTAAATATTCTAGACAAAAAAAAAGAAATACTTTTTTTTTTGCAGGCTGAGAATTTGCAACGTAAGATATAACAATGCATGCTTTTCGAGAGAGAAGTTTTCTGTGTACAAATGAGAAATTGTAACGGTAAGAGTCTGCAATGTTCACTTTTTTCTTATTTTTATTGGAAGTTACTAAATTAAAGCTTAATGTGGATTTTTGTAACACTTGATTTCTTTGTAATACTTTACTGAATAAGCACTGGTCCCGTCCAAATCTGAAAAAATTATTTGGGAATTTAATGATAAATATTTACAAAGAGATTTCTTTGTTTTCATTAAATCAGTGGATATAGGAAAATGAAACTGGTTGATTTCTCGTGTCGGTTTCAATTTTCTCTTTAATCCAATCTTATCATCAACCGTTACAATAAAAAAGCCTCATTTAAATTATTTATTAAATTATTTATTAAATTATTTATTAAATTATTTTTATTAAACTATTTATATTTCTAATTTATCTTTTTTATACTCCTTATTTTACTGTTTTATAGCTACGACGGACGCTACTTTTCGATATATTTCTGTATTTGGTTTATCTACCGGGTGTGATCCAAATTATCTCAATTTGGGTTGTGTTCTTGTTTATATTTGAAAAATAAAATAAAAATAAAAAAATTGGAGATCTAAGGTTTTTTAATTAACGATCTACCTTTGAAACAATTCGTGATACTCAAACAATTAGTGTAATAATAATAACATTTTTGATCAATATTATCTTTATCTAATGTTACAAGATTCTGTCAATTGCTATAATTGTTTAATAATTTTTATCTATCATATGCTGTAATTGTTTAATAAAAATTTTACTTACCTCCTATCTGTTATGGATTTCTTCCAATTTAGTTATGTTATCGCAGTATCACTAGTACGTAATATCTTTAGACGTTAAAGATAGTTTGTTCTTTTTCTATCTGCTATCAAAACTTTGTAACCCATTCAATTAATAAGTAATTCGATAGTTCTGGATGAGATCAACTATGTTATGTTATTCTTTTACAAAAATTTCCACTTGTTCGTAGCTCAATTCTCTTTTCATCGTTCGTTGTAACATAATTCGAAGATTAACTGCATGATTTCCTGATGTGTATTACAACGTGGTGAAAATCATTGGTAACGTTAAATACACAAGGCGATACTTGTACTATTTTGGAGGATCATTAAAGTATAGAAGTAGCGGTAAAGTAACCCTAATTCATTTTTTAATTAATGGTAAACTCCTGTTTAATCTTTAATTAGAATTAGATCTGTGTTATATGTGAAATTGTCTTCTCGACATTTTCTGTTAGTGCTTCAACTTAGGTTTTGACTGTCGTTTCTTGTATTTTTTTTTTTCATTTTTAATCTTTTCTCACTAATAATTGTCGATTCGCGTTGATCAAGTTGATCAACATATGAACCTACCCCGCTTTTAGCGAATCCTATTTTAGGAAATCGCGTTGTTATCTTCAATGAGTTTCAACTACTGGACAAAAATGTATATAGATTCGCAAAAAATGTATGTAAATTGGTTGATCTTGTCTAGAACTACCCTACACTAGCTATCGTTACCGAGTTTTGTGAATACTGTGTGTGTACAACGATAACGATAAGTACGTACGTACGTACGCTACGTACTTATTTTTTTTTTTATTAAATTTATAATAGTCATTTGAAAGACTTCAATAAATAATTTACACCATACTGATTATTGATCCCTCAATTTTTATGATATCATACAAACATAATTTACGTTATTCTGTTATTTTCGTTATTTTCATGCATATTATGAATGTTATAATCTCCTTAAACCTAATAAATTTTTAATATATACTATCTAAACGTTCATACATAATAATTTGAGCTACGATTACACAATGTGGGAGGACAATATTAAATCAACCTATTATTTTTCACCTGATAATCTTATCATTATTTAGATCAATCTACAAATTTGATTTATTTAATATGAAATTTTTAAGTAACGGTAACGGTAACGATAAATTATTGTTTAAGTGTCACGGTTAATGCCGAAATTTGGCTGAAATTGAACCAATTATTTTTCACATGATTTATATTTTCAAATTATTACTCTTGATTCGTTAATTTGTAATCGATCGGTTACTTTTTATCTTTATCCAATTATATAATTTTTAATATTTTTTTGTTGATCAATATATTAGGTTAAGAAGAAATTGTGTGACGATTTGTTAAATATACAGTTTTTATAACTATTTTACCTAATATGGGTACTGCCAAGTCTCTGAGTTTTTAAATTACCTAATTTAGGATACTGCCAAGAAAACCTGTCTTCGAGTTTTTTAAATTTATTATTACCGGACAAAATACCTAAAAAAAATTCAGATGTACTAAGGTTAACTACGTATAAACTTGAAGCTCCGATGAAAAGGTCGTTCATCTATTTCTGTATTTATTGATTAGGATTATGGGTTTTTTTAACATAGATATACGTAGTTAACCTTTTCTAAGTGCACACCCTTAGACTGAGTATTTAGAGTATATACAGTATATACTGCATATATTTATACGTATAGATTATGCGTAGCAGAAAGTAGAATGTATATATTTGCTTATCTGCACTAATTATATAGATTAAATATAGTATAAATAGTTTTAATATATATAGTATATTTATAAAGTATATTTATACGTATTACAAATTTAAATCAAAAATTTGACAAATAAAATCATAACAAAAATAAACTAGGATTATAGTTAATACTAATCTAATATAAGCTAACTTGTTAAAATTTAATTCAAACTTTATATTAATTTATAAAAATTATGCAAATATTATTAATAAATTATCACAAGGGATATTCTATAGAATAGGTGGCAAACTCCGCTAAACTCCGCCCAATATCACTATTCTATATCCATTTTTCTTTTCTATCCAAAAGATGCTTATTGCTAATAATAAGAACTTAGAATAAGATCGATGGTTGAGTTTATATCAATAATCAAATATTGTAGAAAATACCCTATAAGAATAGTATGTTTTAGTAATAAGATAGTTACGCAATGTTGTCGTGCACATTCGATTTACAAATACTGTTATGTTGCCAATCAAATCATTTAGTTGGCTATAAACCATACACTTCGTTTCACTACATTCCTGGTATCTCCGATTCTCGCATGACATCATGATTTGCAGAGGTCATCTTTTTGCAAAATCTTTAAACACTAAGGCAAGAAATAACTGCCGTCATAATTCTGAGAACAGCTATAATGATCGAATAAGTTAGCGAATCAGAATAAGCTGCTGATATCGTTTCAGAATTTACAAAAAAAAACATTATTATATAAAAAGGAAATTTAAAATCGAGTTTTAAAAAAAGGCTAAGCGAAAAGAGAACAATATCTATAAATAAAAATTGATGTATTGAGTTTTATTTACATAAATGGAATAATTTAAATTTTTATTTTAATTAAAAACATATTATCATAATTTGTCATTCGATCATACGGACATATCAAAAGCACAACTATGGAATACACTATATGGGATCTCGTCTCGCTTCTCACGTGACCTACAGATAGTTCTTTAGCATTGTGTTTATTTACTCATTTCATTTTCTTTGATATTCGACTTGTTCAGTCGGGCTACCAAATTCTTTGCTCGATATCCGGGCTGCTCGCCCAGACCATCGAAACCCATACCTATAAAACTAATCGAAAACATCATTTCCTTTCCTCCTCAATTCTTTTCATCGCTCTCAGCGGTGGGTAGGTGGGCATTACGACAAAGCTAGACTTGCTTCGAGCTAGCAGCAAAGACAAAAGAGGGAGAATTAATTTCCATTTCTTCTTAAATAGCCATTTACTTAGCCATTTACTATGACCTCATACTTACATCACTCACTCTATCAAATCGATTTCATCACTCAATACATCATACTTACGAATTCTCTTGGCGTCATTGGCCGGGTTAGGACTAGCGCGTATCTGCGATAGCACAATCTGCACATAAATGATTTTATTATCGCAGAAGCATATGCGATAGCATATT